CTGGACTTTCAAAAGGCTTATTTATGTGATTGGATTTGTAGACGGCCCTCCCCTGTGCACAGGGTACCCAAGACTCCTGAGTAAACTTCACATCCATGAGAGAAGATAGGTTCTTTCATGGATTAAAAACTGGTTAAATGACAGGAAGCAAAGAGTAGGAATCAATGGACAGTCCTCACAACGGAGGAAAGTAAGCCGTGGGGTCCTACAAGGATCGTATTCAGGCCAGTACTATTTAATTTATTCATAAATTATCTGGAACTGGGGGTAAGTAGTGTAGTAGTCAACTTTGCAGATAACACACAATTCTTCAGGATGGTGAAAGCCTGTTCAAAGGTTACTGGTTCTGGTGGCCAGATCCTTCTTTAGTTAGTGAACACAGTGCACGAGGCTTTAATGCAGCAGTGCTTGTATCAGACCTGACCATGTGCTTGCAAAGTTACGACGACGACGACGACGAAGAAGAAGAAGAAGAAAGGTGCACAGAGCCACTGTTTCAAGTTGAAACAAAATACTTTATTCTACAAATAAGAACATAAGAACATAAGAGAAGCCAATGTTGGCTCAGGTCAATGGCCCATCCAGTCCAACACTCTGTGTCACACAGTGGCCAAAAATACCAGGGGCCATCAGGAAGTCCAGCAGTGGGGCCAGGACACTAGGAGCCCTCCCACTGTTCCCCCCCCCCCAGCACCAAGAATACAGAGCATCACTTGCCCCAGACTGAGAGTCCCTATCTATACCTTGTGGCTAATAGCCACTGATGGACCTCTGCTCCATATGCTTATCTAATTCCCTCTTGAAGCCGTCCATGCTTGTCGCCGCCACCACCTCCTGTGGCAGTGAATTCCATGTGTTAATCTTGACAGTGCAGGGTAGAGAAATAAGAGATAGATCCTATGCTATCTAGCTAACAGATGGGATTAGATGTAGAAAGAGACATCCTGCGCTCCATCTTGTGTGCATGGAAGAGAGAAGGAGAGAGAGAGAAGACAGAAGGAAGTCGCTTTTCCCTAAGGAGGGCAGCTGTGGAGTCTTGCAAGTAAAAATTCTACTTGGTGAGCAGCTGGCATTGAAGTTGTGAGCCAGCGATTTGGCTACTGCATAAATCAGTTTGCTCTGGAGCCATCCCTTCCTGAGCTGAGACAAAAATGTGTGAGCCGGAGGCTAAAAAAACTGTGAGCTGGCTCACACTAACTCAGCTTAGAGGGAACACTGGCAGTGACTCATGAAAGCTCCTCCCCTGCCACGAGTTTTGTCTGTCTTTAAGGTGCAACTGGACTCTCTTTCTCTTTCCTAATGTCACCATCATCACTGATGATGCAAACAATGGCCGTATTTCTGATCAATAAAAAAAAAAAAGGTCCGGGGGGGGGGGGGCACAAAGTAGGATTTGGCCAGACTCATCAGGAAAACACTTTGCCACAAACCCCATGTTACTCCACTGGGTGGAGAGAGGAGGCCGGGGCTGGCACAGAGAGTAGCTGCAGACAGGGTTCTCTTTGTAGAAAAAGCCCAGCAGGAACTCATAAGCATGATAGGCCACACCCAACAGCAGGAACTCATTAACAAATTAAGCCACACCCCTGGCACCACAGCTCATTAGCACATTAGGCCACACCCCCATGTTACCAGAAGTGTGGTCATCCAGCCACACCCACCTTTTGCTTCTTATTCTGTTTACCTTGTTTGTTGTCAACCAGGGCTTTTTTTGTAGCAGCAATTCCTTTGCATGTTAGGCCACACACCCCTAATGTAGCCAGTCCTAATGAGTTTCTGCTGTTGGGTGTGGCCTATTATGCGAATGAGTTCCTGCTGGGCGTGGCCAACTTGGGAGCCAGCCGGAACTCCGTTTCTGTGCGTTCCTGCCCAAAAATAGCCCTGGCTGTAGAGAGGCTTGGTTTGCATTTGGGCTTTTAACCCCACATAGTTCCCTCTAAGCTGTGCTAGAGTGTGCTGGCGCACAAAATTTTAGATGCCAGCTCAGGTTTCTGCTTCTGCACACAAAGTCCCCCCCCTTCACTGGTAACAATGGAGGATGAGTGCACCTCCTTCTGGGGCCCATAGAACTGGACCCCCTGATCCAATCTTTTTGAAACATGGGGGGGGGGGATTTTTGAGCTATGCTGCAAATTTGGTGCCTTTGTCTAAAAAAACCCCAGTCCCCCAGCCCCAGATTGAATCTCCATTATAGCCTATGGGGCCTATTGTCTGTAATGACCCCCATAGGCTACAATGGAGCTGGGGGAAATTATTTCTTTTTTTTTTGCACCACCCTACTGTGCTTTTCAGCATGATCTGTAGTTCAGTTTATTGAATTCAGCACATAAGCAGCACATGTCAGTTAAAACAATTTTAAGAACAGAGTCGTTGAAATTCAAAACATATATAAAACATTTAAAACACATATATGAAAATATTACACAAGTAGAAAAAGCCCTATGATAAGATGGAATTTCTAGAAGTGATAAATAAGGTGCTGAAGTAGTCAAGTATTTCGTTTTCTGAGGTGCCAAGAAGGTCGGGACCCTCACAAATATCACTCTGCCTCTCGATATCAAGTATCCTTTGCTTGACCTTTGCTAGACCCTTGCCTGGTCTAAGGCCTTTATCGGAAAGGGGCTCAAAAGAAAAACCAATCAGATGTAATTTCTGATAAACTGCCTTAAGCCAAGTTGAACAAAAACCATCCCTGAGAATTAATGAAGTAATAACAGAGGGACTATGACTTATTCTAAACTAGATATGAATAGAGGCGAGGGTTACCCAAGCCTCTAATCTAATCAGTCCAGTTTCCAGGCGTAGATTTGCATTAGAGGCACTACTAGGAAATCGGAGTAAGGTTCTTATTAGATTGAGTTTTCTCTAATGGGGCAAAGCTTGAAGTGGGTGGCCCCAACATAGTCCCGTAAATGAGATGCGGTATCGTTTTAAGGTAAAGGTTTCCCTTGCTCGAAAGCTAGTTGAATCCAACTCTAGGGGGCGGTGCTCAGACGTTTCCATGGTCATGTGGCCGGCATGACTAAACGCTGAGGCGCACGGAACGCTGTTACCTTCCCACTGAAGTGGTACTTATCTATCTACTTGCAATTTCTTGCTTTCAAACTGCTAGGCTGGCAGGAGCTGGGGCCAGAGACGGGAGCTCACCCTTTCACACGGCACTCAGGTCTCAAACTGCCCAACTACAGACCTTCCGGTCTGCAGCTGCAGGTATGGAGTACCCTCCTTCCATACAAATGAATTTAATAATACCTCCAGCTGATTTCTGTCCTACATTTGTAGCATATTCACGATGGGCCTTCCTTGCCACGGAAAACTGAATTACAGAAGAAGAAGAAGAGATTGGATTTATACCCCGCCCTTCACTACCCAAAGGTGTCTCAGAGTGGCTTACAAACTCCTTTCCCTCCCCCTCCCCACAACAGACACCCTGTGAGGTAAAAGAAGAAAAAGAAGAGACTGGATTTATACCCCGCCCTTCACGACCCAAAGGTGTCTCAAAGTGGCTTACAAACTCCTTTCCCTCCCCACAACAGACATCCTGTGAGGTAGGTGGGGCTGAGAGAGCTCTTGACAGAAACTGCTCTTTTTCAAGAACAACTCTGACAGAACTATGGCTTGCCCAAGGTCATCCAGCCAGGTGCAAGTGGAGGAGTGGGGAATCAAACCTGGTTCTCCCAGATTAGAGTCTGCGCACTTCACCACTACACCAAACTGGCTCTGATACTGGTAAATACTTAAAAGTTAACACCTGTTCCAATCTATGGCCCGTTATACTCCACTCCCTTACTTTGGGCTTCACAGTACGATTTATAAGCTGCCTTGAGTTACAGTGAAGAGTGGGATATAAATATTTGAATAAATAAGTCGTGTGGGCAGGTTGATAACATTCAAGCAACTTCCTGTTTGTTAAATTAGGCAGGGTTCTGACAGTGATTGTTCCTCCTCTTGTATACTTGACCTGTAATGCTGGTTGTCATATATCACTAACCCCCACCCGCCCCCAAAGTAGACTGCAAGAGAGTCCCTGCTCCTTACATGCTAGTATGTTTTCTAAGGCTCAGCACAAGGTGCTGGTCCAAGGCCAGGTCTACTAATATAATGGAAAGGGGTGGTGTTAAGTCGCTCGCTTAACAAAGCAGTCAGAGTGATTCAGCAAGAATACAACTTTATTCTTCAACTCGAACACAACTCCAACACGGATCAACATCTGATAGCCAGAACAGCCTTTACATTGCAGCTGTCCTGCTTTTAAACATTCCCGGCTAATATAGCCACACCCACTGTACACATATCAACCTATGAGGTTGCCGAGATAAGGTCCAATCACATTCGTTCCCGCTCAGGGAGCTTGCTTGAAGTGATTGGCTTGTTACTTCCTGGGCTAGCAATACTATTGGATGACTTTGGATCCTAGTCCAGGATGAAGCTTAACATCACATTCCAATTAAATGTTTCACACATGTTATGCATTCAAACCAGCTGTGAATACACTACAGGTGGGTTACATTTGATTTGGTTTTAAAATTCTTAAAATATAGTTTAAATATAATTTAAAAGAATTCATTCTGAGATTTTTACAAGGTTATGGAAGTACTCGTCTTAAAAAACCCCTAATTTACGCGATAGTCAAATGTAAACTCGCTCACAACTTTCATCTACTAGCTTTTTTTTCACTCATGAGATAGAATGCTCACAACACTGTGGAGCTTTGAGGGAACATTGCTCTCCACGATTTCTCCCTGAGGTAAACATACTAGATGAGAAGAAGAGGAAGAGAAGAGATTGGATTTATACCCCGCCCTTCACTCGGAGTCTCAGAGCGGCTTATAAACTCCTTTCCCTCCCCCTCCCCATAACAGACACTCTGCGAGGTAGGTGGGGCATTCTGACAGAAACGGCTCTTTTTCAAGAACACCTCTGACAGAACTACGGCTTGCCCAAGGTCATCCAGCAGCTGCGAGTGGAGGAGTGGGGAATCAAACCCGGTTCTCCCAGATTAGAGTCCACAAACTTAACCACTACACCAAACTGGCTCTCTAAAAAAAAGAAGGCATTCAAAATGGTCAAACTGTTGTAGAGTTGGGCAGATTCCCTGGGGTCTCTTCTAACACCAGCCCTGCGAGAAACAAAACATTTACAGTTTAAAGTAAGACAACATCATTTACACACAAAATGTCTTGCAAGGAGTTAGCTAGGGTTGCCAACAACCTGGGGGGAGAACATGTCCTGTCTGTTTCGAGAGAGGCTTAAAGTGCATTGAAAGAGGCAGCTTGGAGATAAATAGCATCCCCTAATAAATAATGTCTCTCCTTCAGCCTCTATGGAAGGGACAGGACATTCCCCCACTCCATGCTGTTTGGGAGCCATATGGGGAGCTGATGTGCCACCCTTGGGGCCCTACAGAACAGCTGCCTCCAGATGACAGCTCAAGCAAGTGAGCCAGGCTGCAGAGTTCAAGGGAGAGGAGAAAACACACAGGAGCATTGCCCAGGCTGACCCAGGGGACGAACCCCTCCTTGACCCCCAAGCTCAACTGTCGGTCAGACCTTGAGGAATGTGTGTGTGGGGGAACAAGGGCTCACATCAGGAACTCCCCATGTTTTGTGACTTGTAAAAAACTGAGACATTTGTTCCCAGAGGAAACAGAAGCCCTTCAAAACATGCACCCAGTCAGGGGCCCCCCCCCCGCCCTGAGCCTGCTGACAGAGTGCCTCCTCCATCTTTGAGACAGGGGTCCCAACTCCCATATACTTACTTTGAGTGGAGCAGTTAGACCCCTGGTCACTGTCTCCTGAAGGAAAGAGAGAGCAGGAGCCATGTTTACTGGGAGGCACATAAGGAGGGGGCTCCAATCATGATAGCCCCTTTTGCCCCTCTACCCTGCACGTATCCTCCTCCCCCCACCAGTTAATGTTACATACAACATAAAGCTCAACCATCACATGGAGATAAACAGAAACTGGGGAAATCTTTTACTTCTCCATTCCCCTCAGAGGCAAGAAGGAGGGCAGGAGCCATGTTTACTGGGAGGCACATAAGGAGGGGGCTCCAATCATGATAGCCCCTTTTGCCCCTCTACCCTGCACGTATCCTCCTCCCCCCACCAGTTAATGTTACATACAACATAAAGCTCAACCATCACATGGAGATAAACAGAAACTGGGGAAATCTTTTACTTCTCCATTCCCCTCAGAGGCAAGAAGG